AAATATAAAAAAAATGTCCCCGTTTTTTTTTTTTTTTTGCTGAGGAACATATTCGATACATTTTTATGGTTGAAATACAATACAATGATCATTCAGAGATATACAGATAAGTGTTCCTCAAAAGCCTGATGGATCATATTTGATATTTACTTTTTAAAATTATTTTTCTATAAAAGTATTTCTGGATAATCAAGTAAACCTAAATTGTATCAGTCAAGTAAGTGTTCATCTTGAAATATTACTTAACATTTAAAATTTACATTTGTATTCTTTACAGTGTATTCTGTATTCATTGTAAATTTACAATGTATTCTTACATTTACTTTATAAAAAACTGTACCATGGCTCATCCAGTAAGATAGATTTATCACTTTAATAAAGACCTAAAATGAAGATTTGATTAGTATCACAGTGCTGTCTGACCTTGTTGAAGTTCAGCAGATTGCCGAGGAATGCAGAGTTGTTCATCAATTTAAGAGCTTCACTCCATGAAGGTTTCACACAGGGTCTCTCGGGGTCCATGGTGACCACATCCACCCGTCGCTGGAACAGCAGCAGCACGCAGTCCATGATCCGCATGATCAGATGTGGAGGCTTTCCCAGTTTACGCACTGTTGCGATGTCAGCAGGCTTTAAGGTCTAGAAACCACACATGGTATAAAGATTTAAGCTGACTAAATTCAAGGTCTTCAAGTCAACATGAAACACAAAACATTTAAATAAATTGTGTTTCAGAGGTGATTTAGCATAATCCAGACATCTACCTTTAGCGCACCCTCAGCTGCCTCTAATGCTGGTTTGGCCGCCTCAAGTTTGGACTCGGCCACCTTCTTGTCCCCCTCTATCTCATCCACAATCGCCTGGGCCTTATCTTTCACCTTCTGGACCTGAACCTTCACCTTTTCCGCAGCTTGTGCCTTGGCCGTGACCTCCTGCAAAACTACTTCTGCTTTCTGGTTAGCCACCTCCAGCACCTTCTCCTTGTCTCTCAGCTCCACACGAAGCTCATTAACAGACTGTTCGGCCTCCATGAGACGCTCAAGACCTGCAGTGAGATGAAAGAGTTTAGAGTATGTCATTTTCAAACATGTGACCTTGCCATTAGTAAAATGCTTTTTTTCAGTGAATATTGTGCAAAAGTGGTTTCCCATTCCAAGACTACATGTTAATGCTGAAGATACCAAGCTGAGCACATTTCCACCCTTTTGTATATATATTGTGGCCATAAGATATTTTAAATATATGCTAAATATATGTTATATACCAAAATGAAATATGAATATATGAAATATACCAAAATATATTTCTAAATGTATTTTAGAGGCAATAAAATAAATAATAAAGAATTTCATTCTTACAGTAGCCTACGTTTAGGCTAAATACAAATGTAGATGGCCTACTAGAGATAATTTTTTTATCATCAGAATTAAAATGCTTAAATATTTCATATTTTTATATATTGCAATAATGCTTTTTTGTAGCATTTTAAATTATGATACTTGCTGAAGTTTATTCAAACGTGTTATATGTTCACACGTGTCATAGATAACAAATAAAGTATTTCTTCAAATGTGACATATGTAAATGCATTTACTTGGACTGAAATATATAGAGGGCAAAATGTATTTTTAAATGCTTTTAAAAAATTTTATATTTTTACATTTAAAATATATTTTCATAAATATATAAAAAAAAGGCCAAAAATATATTGGTAGAAAATATATTTACATAAATATATTTTGAAACATATTTTAGCCAAATACATTTTTGGCCTATTTTTTTATATTTTGATATATATTTAAAAATATATATGATTTTTTTTTTTTTTTTGCTGTATGGGGAAGTACAGCAACAAATCTAAAATTCTGATGTAATTGCAACAGATGTAATTGCAAACCTGTGTTCATTCGCTCTGCAAGCATCCCCACATGATCAACTTTTTCTGAGTAAATCATCTGGTATCCTTTAATAAACATCAAGTAGGATTTGGGTGTCACATAGGTCTGACGCCTGAAGCGCTGGAAATACTCGGTGCAGATCTCTGCCACCATGTCTTGGAATGTTCCCATAGTTTCTACCACACTCTTCTTCACCTCATCTGAACAACGCAGTGAATAGTTGGAGAGGAAATGGTGAGCCACAGCTACTAAAGCATCCCGTGGCCACCGCTGGAACCAGTCCACAGTGCAACCCGAGATGAGGCCGGGGAACTTCAGGGCACGGGAACGCAGTTTCTCACCCACCGGAGAGAAGCAAAGAGCAACATGAAGGTTACTGCGCACCCTGGACAGGAAGTAGTTGTAGAGGTTGTCGATGGTGGGTGGGCAGCGTGGGAGATCCTTCTTCATGGTGGGAATAAGACTTTGGGTGATCTCATCCACCTCGTCTCGAGCAAACAGGTTTGAGACTTCTCCCGATGCCAGAACGTTGTTCATGTACTCCAAAAAAGCTTCATCCTTGATGTCATTGTCCGTGAAGATGAAGGTCACGCCCTTCCCTTCCAAACCTGCGATTCTGTACAGGGTTTTCAGGTCCTCAATTAGATTACTCACATTGTATGTTCTGTAAGGGAATAAATTATGTTAAATATTTTTATCTTTTGATAAAATATTCACTGAACTCAATTTAAATCATAGATAGAAAGTATCAGTACTGTGTCTTAATACACTATTAGACCTTTCCCACTTCACTTAACTCCAGGTTATCATCATTCTAAACCCTGCTTTTAACCCTGGGAAGAGGAACATTTCACACTTGTAATTTAGAAGCAGTGTTAGCACTAGGGATGGGCATTTTTCAGAAATACTGTATTCTAATATTTGGGCTCATAAAAAACGAATATTCGAATATTCGTTTATTTAAATTAGGTTAAAAGAAAAATATGTTATGATTTAATAATCAAGTTTCTGTCACCATTTCTGAACAAGCTTATGATAAGGCATTATGTTCTACAACAAAGTTGCGTTATATCTCAGTTTTCTTTTAGTTGAAAACGTGTGTAAACAAAAACAAAATCTATATATTAAGAACAAAAGCATTCAAGCTCAAGAAGAGCAAACATAAAAAATTAAGCAGCACGTGCCAATTACAGTACAGAACGCAAGTTACACACTCGAGTCGGCCTATGTTTATCGTGTTTATATTGTTTCACATGTTAATGTTGAGAAAAACAATAATATCCACATGCTCGGGTGAAAATAGGCTCCTCAGTCTGATAACAATAAAAATAGCGCGCCGACACAGACGTTCCAGACAGAGACACAAACATAACGGTGTGCTAAGCAAAGTTTCTTATAGCGCTTTGTGTTTTCTGTTTTTAAACCACTCTCCCTCGAGGAAACTTAAAGGAAGCATATGTCTCACGATCATTTCGCTATCAGATAAGCTCTCTTCTCGGCTCACTTGGGTACAGCTGCGCTTACCTGCAGTCGTGAATGCAGTGATGGACAGCTGTCTTTCCTCAGTCGACTGCTGTTTTGGTTTTTATGGGATTTCTCATTGTGATGGTGATATTATGATAACTAATTAATTAATTTCATCAAAAGTATTTCCATTTTGTAAGATCATTTAGTAAGAAGATCATTTTTATCAAAGTAATTCCAAACTTAGCGAGGCAGACAACGACATTCTGTGATCAAATACAATCAACTCGTTAACACGCTCCACAGTGCCACCCAGTGCATTTAGTTATCACTGTGGAGGATTTATCATGGATTCCCTGTATTTACGGCCAGAAAAGCATCATGCATTAAAATTCGAATAGTGTTTTTATTTTTCGAATAATAATTACAGAGCGAATATTCGAATATTTGACTATTTGTGCACATCCCTAGCTAGCACCGTTTTTACCCATGGTTAAGAGCACCGCTTCTGAAACTATGCAGTGCTAGGGGCCATTCACACAGAATGTGAAACATGAAACAAATTAACCGACCATTCAGTTTACACCGGGTGTGAAAGGCCCTTATGACAACAATGAGAAATCAAACCATCAAATTTAAGAACAATTACAATTTTCTCACCGTGTCAGTGTAATCTGAAAGCTCTGGTATCCAGCAATGAAGGATGAAAGTCGGGTGAGGCTCTGTTTCCCAGAACCCCCGACTCCAACCAGTAGTGCATTACCACGAGCCGTCCGGATTATCCGAGAAATTTTCATCAAATGGGTCATGGCATCCTGTGAGAGTGTACAGAAGTCAATGTGAGATCAAATAAATAAATGAATTCATTAAGCATTCTAAGCATTCACATATAAGGTCCCTCATTATCATCAGCAGTTTTCACGTTGCTCAATAGCTAATTACCCTCCTCCATACCCAGCTCCTCCTCTTGTCAGTCAGGATTCAGCCTTCTGATTCTCGTTTGAATCAGGCTAATTCTAAAATGTGTACATAAAATTATTGAACTTTAACAATATCTGCAATACATTTATGTTGGTTCTGTTCTGTTACACTTGGGGGTTATCGCTGCTCTCCCTGCTCTCATCCATGCTAGGCTTGCCCAGAACAGAACCATACTGCCAATCCAAACTGTATGTCAGTCATCTTTGACGATAGTGGTCCTGACAGAAATGTATGTCAAAACGACAAATAAACGTATAATATTCACGTAAAAATTTTATAACAAAAGTTAAAAATTGACTTGGTTTAGCCTGCATCTTAAAATCAGTGATAAAAACATATCAAGAGAAGGTTTTATTATTAAAAAAAAAAAAACCTTTATCAATATTTTTATTTAATATTTTTATTGTTCAAAGTTATATTTTTGGCCTTTTGTGCCTTTATTGTATAGAAGGAACTCGACAGCTGCGGCATGTCAGAGTACTGCCCACTCTACAGAACATTTTCCATAACCCATTTTTCAACATTATCATTTTTGTTCCACTAACCTCAAAGAAGACCAGATCCATGGCTGCTCCTCTAACAGTTTCATTATACTGTTGCTGAAACAGAGACAGGCGCTCTGATAGGGCCTTGAAGGAAGGAATGGGCTCATAGATCTTTGGTGTCTCTGCCTCAGCATCTTCAGGTTCATCTCCCGTCATTTCTGGAGCATCCCGCAGGAAGTCCACAAAATAAGCTTCCGTTGGCCCCTGCTCCACAAGGCTAGGACCATGATCCTGTACTGTGATCTTTAGAACAGTAGAGAAATCCGAAGATAAATACATGTGAAGAAATACATATTATACAATTAAAATATATGATTATTTTCTTAAACACATTAAAAATTTGTCTTGAAGCCTGTGAGGATTAAGTTGACACACCCTTTCTAAAATGCCATCGAAGGTCTCTCTGTCCTTCTGATCAATGAAACGGTCGGCGATGACCCGTGTGCACTCGTGGCGGAAAAGAGATGCCAGCAGTTGAGGCGTCTTACATACTTCTGATCCCACGGTGAGAATCCCCTGCCATATCCTGCTCAGATCACGCAGGTTAAAAATGTAGTGGAACTTTGCAGGAGAAGGCAGCATCTAAAAACAATATTAACTTAATATCATTATTTTATTAATATACATTATTTCAAATTTGGAGTCGCTATAATAAACGAGGCTGTGTTTATTTGATCAAAAATACAGTAAAAACAGTAATATTGTTTAATATAATTACACTTTGAAATAATAATTTTTAATAAATATATTTTAAAATGTAATTTACTCCTGTGATAGCAAAGCTTAATTTTCAGTGCGGTCTTCAGTGTCACACGGCCCTTCAGAAATCATTCTAATATTAGCAAAATTTATTATTATCAATGTTGAAAACAGTTGTGCTGCTTAATATTTTTGTAGAAACCATGATTATTTATTTATTGAATTCTTTGATGAATAGAAAGTTCAAAAGAGCAGCATTTGTTTAAAATAGACAAGTTGATTACAATGCAAAAGTCTTTACTGTCACTTTTGATCAATTCATTGATTCCTTGCTGATTAAATGTGTTTATTTCTTGAAAAAAAGTAATATCTTAGTGACCTCAAAGTTTTGAATGGTAGTGTATTTAAAATATATTGCAAGAGCTGAACAATATTAATGCAGCTCAGTTTACTTTGAAGCATACTGACCAAAAGAGGGCACCATTTTCTAATAATTTGGACCACTGTGTGCTGTGACACATTGCATGCATGTTTTAAAAGACATGGATAGTCTTTGTTAAAAGATAACAAATGAAATTAAATTTGGAAGAGACTACAGATTACCAGACATTCCATGTTCAATAAGCAATACCTATTTTGATCATATTATGACGGCAGTACCTTAGCTTTGACCGCTTGCCACACTCTCCTGGTGGTGGGGACCTGGGCGGCAGCTAGAGAGCACACCTCTTCCGTGAAGCCTCTTTCTGAGCAAAAATAACCACTGGCCAGCGTTTGGAATATCTTATCTATGGAGGAGTTGGATGGTAGAGTGCAGTTAAACACACAGAACTGGCGTTTGAGTCGTTGGGGGATATCATTGCGGCCACCACCAGGGTGGATCATAGCAGCCACCACATACAAGTCGACTACACTGGTGAATTCCCCAGATCGTTCCAGGCTGTAGAAACCTCCCTGCACCATCAGCTGGCGAACAATTTCGTTAGTGATCTGAGTGGTAAACAAAAAAACAGGAGGCTCAGTCAGAGACTGACCACGGAGGGGTGGTCTGTGCACGCCACTGCTGTCAACACATGATATTTTTGTAGACCAAAGCCCAGAAACTTCCTGTTCCGTTGTCCTGAAGACTCGTTGTGTTTTTAATTGCACTCTTGCAAACTATTCTAGTTCAAACTTTCAGGGAAAATGTTTTTTGAAAGTGTTTGAAGCTTAGTGATGGTGACGTTAGTGAAACTTAGCGTGGAGTAGTTCGTTTATAGCCTACGGTTAGTTTTCCTTATTGAAAAACCAGCATATGCTGGTTAGTTATGTTTTGAAGCATGGCTGCTGGTTTAAGCTGGTCCTTAGCTGGTCATGAGCTGGTCCTAAGCTGGTCCTAAGCAGGAGCTAGTTGCTTAGGACAGCTTAGGACCAGCACATGACCAGCTAAGGATCAGCTTAAACCAGCACATGACCAGCTCATGACCAGCTAAGGACCAGCTTAAACCAGCAGCCATGCTTCAAAACATACCTAACCAGCATATGCTGTTTTTTTCAACAGGGTTTTACTTCTGCTGATTGTATTTAGGTTTCAAAATGCATACAAGTTGTGTTAATTTGAAGATTATCATGATAAAACGTGTAAGAATCATAAACTTATGTTGCCTACAGAGCTTATTTTCTGCTGTATTCCAAAAGCTAATGGAAAAATCTTATTGGGTTTCTGTAGAGGGAACCAGGGTGATTTTCTACTTCCGGGTTGGCTAAAAAACATTTATCATCACTGCAGCGCTCTATTATTGTTTACTTATTAAAATGTTTTATTTCATTTATTAATTATGCCTTGTTATTTGACAAACCAGACGAAATTAAAATCCAAAACTACAGTCCATGTCTGTTGAGGTCATCTATATAATACATAGTGTGCTCAAAGAAATTAACCAAAGGAGTAGATTTTTGGAAAATTAAGTAACAAAGGAGCATGTGACTGCTCACCTGATCACCCCACTCATTGATAACTGGCATGTTGATGTCGTCAATAAAGACAGTCATCTTCCTCCCGCCTGGAGGTCCATAGGTGGTGCCCATGCGTTTGTCTATGTAACTCTCAATAGTCTGCTGGAACATGCCAGGCAGAGTGGCCGAGGAGAAGTTTAGGCTTTTGCTCAAATGCGTTTCTGGGTCATACTTGCTCATGTAGCCCTGTGGTTTGGATTACATCGTTTTGTCAGAATTAATTTCAGCGTGGTGAATTCACCTGACGAGTAAAATCTGTGTAGTAATCGCTGGATTTCACTAGCAAAATTTTGCTGAGCAGTAGTAAATGTGAATGCACCTTGAATTGACATCAGTTCAATTTCAAGATTTCAAATATGTATTATAAACTACAAAGCCAGGAAATGATTTATTACAAAATATTATTCTGCTGATAACAGCATGGATTAACTGAAACAGATGTACCTTGATCATGACTGTCTTGGCTGTTCCCTGTTCTCCAATGAGCAGGACAGCTTTGCCTTGCTTCATAATGGTTTGCATCAGGAAGTCTGTCCGTATATTGTCAACATTGGGTACGAGAATGGAGGCATAGTCTGGAACTGAGTCTTTGGGATAGTGATACTCTGGCACCTAATGACATCGCAATTAAAAGGTATGTTTAAAAATGGCAACTTACTAATGCACTGAATAAAAAGATAAATACGAAGGTTGTCACAAAGAAAACTAAGAAAAATTGTAGCATGAGGCATGCTATAATAAAAGATCACTAGTGGCTTTTAAACTATACATAATATTGTACTTAACAAATAATGGTCTTACCCTTGTAGACCAGAGATCCCACTCTCCAGTTGCACTGACTACAAACTCAAAGATTGTCTGGTCCCCCTGTGTGGTGGGCAAGTCCAACTTGGCATTGTGCTGTTTTAGGAATACCTCCATCTTGGCTCGATCATCCAATTCCAGCAAAGCACCAACAGACCACATCACAGCAAATATGAAGAGACGTTTGATGTGAGCTGCTGTTAGGTGTTTCTCTTCAACGGCTGGCAACAGGCCCTGTGTTTAACAAATCAGAACCATTTTATATTTGAGCTTCTTCAGAATAGCCACCATTTGCCAAGATTATAGTTCAAGATCACTCTATTTTTAGGATCATTAACATGAATTAAACTGATTTAGTGTGTCTAAAATTCTAACTGATAGTGTATATTAATTCAATAAGCTGCTCAAGCTTTATTTCATGATAGATGAAAATGATTGTGACTGTGCATCACATTTTACCTGTAATAAATCAATTGTTTGCTTGATGTACATGCACTCAAGCAGCTGCATTTTGGGGGAAACGGCAGTGCAGACAAAAGTCATCAAATCCTGTGGAAAACAGTCAATAGTCAGTAAGAGATTTTCAAAACTGTGTACAAAATCCTCTCTTACCTTTCCCTAGGCAATGTCAAAAAAATCAATAGAGCTTTTCATATTCATAAACCACTTAATAGCTTAAATGGTTTACAAGCGTTGTATTGATCCATTTTTATATTGATGTTTTACCCAGTTTATATCACTAGATACCCCTCAAAATGTAACTAAATATTCAGGTAACAGGTAAGCTGTACTCCAATAATCTATGTATCAGAGAGCATGTGAAATAGTGCTGTGTTCGATACATCGATACGACAATGTATCGTCAGAGATTTGATGATACGAGTATCGATACAGCTGTCTCTGTATCAATATTGCGGCACGTGTGCAGCAGTGGACCGCACAAGAACACAGTTTAAAAAAGCTCCTTGTTGAGAAAGATAATGTAGCTCTTGAGCGATTAAGCTATATAGTTGACAAAATTGCGGGGCAGCGCTAAAAAGTTTGTTCCTGAATGTCTTAGTGCGTGCGCGCAACGTGATCTGTGTGAGTGACTGAGCGTGTGTGTGCGTTAGATACAGAAGACAGTGCATTAGTTTAGAACTCTTCTCATTTTTATTTTTTAAATGTAGAAAAACCTACCAGCAATGTTAAGATGATTTAAAAATATATATATATTAGTATGAGTACATTACAATATACATTTATTAGAATGAGTACATTATTATTTATGGGCTTAAAAACAAGATGCAAACAATCAGAATATTGCACCTGGTGGGGAGTGCCCAATGTAAACATGAAACATATGCCATTACCTATATTGTACTGTGGTACAGTTATGGAAGCCCTTCATAATGCAGAGGTCAACTGCCTGCTCTGCCAATAATTAGAAATGGCCCTATAGTAAGCGGAGTTTAATAAACAGTTGTTTTACTAAATTCTGCTGAGGTGAAATTCAGTGCAGTCCTGTATCATATGTATCGTATTGTGGCCTCTGTACCGTGATACGTATCGTATCGTGACTTTGCTGGTGATACACAGCCCTAATGTGAAATACTGCACACATGTCTAGCTGTCACCTGATAGATTGAGTTGAAGGAGGCCAGTAGCACTTCAGCCTGTGTTGCTGGGATCTTTTGCAGCCAGGCCTGCAGTATGGGTTGCCATTCCAGAACAGAGGAGCTCATGAAGACCATTCCATTGCGGGACACAGTGGCAGGAGATGCATTGTCGATGTTGTGTGGCTCAAATACCACCTTGCAGTTGGGGGCCATTGGTATTCGGTCTCCATTTGCCAGGGTGAGGGTTTTGTTGTCGTCCAAGACGGAGTTGAGATTTTCAATCCAGATAGCATCAACTGGACCATCAAGAACAATCCATATGTGTTCTCCCTGTGAAATGTTTTACCATGGAGTAATTTAATTGGAATTTTAAGTACCGTATTGGCCCGAATATAAGACGACCCCCCTTTTTCCAGATGTACCTTTTGGAAAAAGGCTTTTTTAAAACCAAATCTTGTTTTTTCTCAGTAAAACACATTTTGTCTTCAATTATTTTCATATTGCATATTTTTCCTATTTTAATTTTTGTTTTGAAAGTATGGTAAAAACTGGTAAAATGTACCAACAATCACATTAAAAATATATACACTTTTTGATATACCATAAAAAAAAAAAAAACAGGTAGCCCATCTGAATTAGGACATTTAGGCTATCCATCTAATAGTAGCCTACCAAAATCTTATGAACAGTAGAAGTTAAATCTTACTGTAGTCTTCAAATCTGGGTACTGTCTTACGTTTTAAAATCACAAAGGGAGTTTGGTCCCATCAGGCTAACGTGACAGTCACGACTCATGCAGATGTAAGCTTTTCTTTTTCTTTTGTTTTTACTCACGATCTTTACAACACGCATTACATTACATATTTCATGGCACACTCGTTTTATGCGGTTTTGGCGCCACCTAGTGTTGTGGGTGTATTATTGACATGTCAAAGTCTAGACCCTGAATATAAGACAACCGCGTTTTTTCAGATGTATTTCCAAGAAAAAAACATTGTCTTATATTCGGGTCAATACGGTACTTACTAGTGAAAAGTCATGAGCACCAGGTCATTTACTGACAGTTATTAATTGCAATCAAAAATTATTAAAACATTTATATTTCATAAAGTAAAAAATATCTATTTACTTGTTAAACTGCCATTCCAAGTCATATTTGATCAGTAATGACAAATTTAAAAAAAAATGCTTATTGCCAATAGAGTCAAAGTTAATGGTTACATAAGCATGTCATTCATTTACTCAAGTTGCTTGTTAATACAACTCTTTCACCTTTTTGGACTTTAAAGTTTTCCTCCACAGTGTAGAGAAGACACCATCTGTCCAGTCATTTGTGGCCACATCCAATGTGCCAAACATCTGGGAGGCAGTAATAGCCTTGGGATTCATCCTCATTTCTTTGTGTGGATTTCCACATTCTGTCATTGCTTTCATTAGAGTGTGGATACATGTGGTCTTTCCTGTTCCACTGGGACCAAGAGTCATCATACCTACACACAGAGAACAAATATATGGAATGAGGACAGTATTGTCCACTTCACCAAATCTATGCATGCCTACAGCCATGGGCATATGACAAAATTCATTCTTATAACTTTAATAGAAGTAAAATGGATAATGTCTAACCATGTCTCACTCTCTGTGTCTCATATAGTTGCACAAGTTTGAGAATCCAGGGTGGGTGCGCAATCAACCCGGCTTCTTCAGCTTGTTTGGTGATAGAAGCTTCCAGATCAGGATAACCGGCTTTATCCAGCTGAATGCCCGGAAACAAGTCGTTTATCAGACTCATGAACAGGGGCTCATCTTCATCTACCTGTATGGAGGGAGAGGCAGGAATAGAGTCAGCTGCTGAAAATATCTGTGACACACTAAAACATTTATCCTATTACTTCAAGGTGTTATTTCCAAACAAATTTGGATCAGTCATAGTCACCAGTTTGGAGAGGTTCATGTCCCGCAGAACTCTCATGACCACAGTCTTTTCTGGCTCAGTTGGGTTGGATCTCTTCACAGCACCCAGAGTTCTCAAAACAGACAAGATGTTTCTCAAGCCAAAGTCATAATGGACCTGTTGAGTGATAAAAAAAAAATTATCAGCAAGGTATCATGCCTTGATACCTTGCAAAGAAAACTTATTTATTTAACAACATATCAGCTTCAAAATTTAAATTCATGGAAAACTCAAGTTTAATAAATTTTAAATAATAATGAAAACAATAATACTACGATGAATTACATACAATAACAATATTATTAGGGATGTTCATTTCGGTTATTTTTCCTAACCGACAACCGACGCTCGTTAACCGGTTGTTAACCGTTAACCGACAAGATTATTTTAAGTTAGAATTTAATTAAATTAAAAAGGATAAGTGTCTGTGTATATAACGAATAAATAGGCCTATACGAGAAACATGTTTTTACTTAAATAATAAATTAAGAAAATGAAAGAAAAACTGTGCAATAAGTAGCCTACTATGCAGAGTTTTGGTTCAGTTTTGTGCTGCGCGAAAGGAAACAGACAGAAAGCGGCATCCTATTTTTCTTTAGGCTTATTTTACAAAAGCACAAAGATTTGTTTTTATTGTGAATGTACACAAATAAAGGCAAACCTTTTACAATTCCGATTACCTTTAGGACTAAAAGGAGTAGTTGCTTCCACTGCTAGAAGGAAAAAACTCAAGTGATTGCGCCGGTGCCGCATGCACACACACAGTTAAGCATTGCTACCTTGACAATGCAGCCTGTTCATTATCATAATAAAATACAGTCAGTTAAACATATGGAAAAAAATATGTAGTAAAATCTGTGCCGTTAAGTGTTATCACCGCACCGCCGTGATGTTATGCAAAACATTTTGTTTTACGTGGATATTAGAACGCGAGTGAAGCCTAGGCTACATAATAAACAGTGTTGGGAGTAACGCGTTACAAAAGTAATGCATTACAGTAACGGATTACTTTTTGCTGTAACGCAGTAGTGTAAGGCATTACTAATCAATTTTCAGTAATATTTTACTCGGTACATGTTCAGTAACGCTTGCGTTACAACACACTTTTAGCCCAAAATTTAATTGTTCAAAGAAAAGAAAAAAACAGCAAGACCGCGAGACATTAACAAATCAAAAATGCCGCAAACAAGTTATATTTCCTGTTCGTGGTCAGTCAATAGCCGCGTGTCATTATTTGTGATTCTGGCTGTCATCCTTTCTTGCATTGTCTTGAGCCTTCACTCCAATTATAAGCTATATTGTTAGTAGTCTGGATAGCCCACAGTCATTATGATACACCATATCGTCCTCTACTGGATGTAAAATGCTCTGCAGTACAGTAGATGTCAAGTTCTACTTCTGTAGTAATTTGGTGAAAGTAACTCAAAAGAAATACAAGAGTCATGTAACGCATTACAATTCTGAGACAGTAATATTGTAAGGTAAGGAATTATTTTTAAATAACAGTAACAAGAAATCTATAATGTATTACAGTTTGGAAGTAACTTGCACAACACTGATAATAAATAATAATTTGCCATTCGAATACATTGCGAATACAAAAACATTTGATTTTGTGTGGAATGAGAGACCCAACGTTGGTTTCAGTTTCGTTTTAGCCTAAATTAATTCGTTTTGGCTTGTCGTTTATATTGCTATAGCTTCTTATATTTTTAATTCTTGTTCTTTTCTAAATACTGTTAATTGAAAGGATTTATTGTGGAGTGAGGGGAACTAAAATAGCCTAGCTATGTTTACAGTGTTTATTATAATATTTGTAAACATTTCGCGTAGGCATTAGGCCTATTTCTGAATGAAACAATAAAATGCGACTTACGCACGCGACTTATGTTTTTTTTTATACACGTAGCGTATTTTAACCATGCAGCAAACCTTTTTCAATATTTTGATAAATTATTGAAAAAATAAATAATTAAATTACTTCTTAAACCGTTTAACTGATTGTATTAATCAGTTAAAATTCTTATGGTCGGTTAACTGGTTAAAATTAACATCCCTAAATATTATATTTAGAAACAAACTAAATAAATAAAACAATAATAACAAGTCAAATAAAATCTTTCAATCTGATAAAAATAAAAATTTTCTAAAAATGAAAATTATATTTTTAAAAAATGTCAATCAAAAACTTTCTTAACTATGTCCAATTTAATTTCTGAATAAAAGCACTGCCGAATATAATTTAAATCAAGACATAAGAAAACAACACTATAAAGGGTCATACAACACTAAAACACATTTAGTTTTAAGTTTAAGTAATTTTAACAATGTAAAAATAAAAGTGGACCACAGAGAATTGAGTTTTCTCCAACGTCCTTATCACCTTATCAGTAGCTTTCCATGCCTGCTTATTCACATGTTTCAAAACTCTGGTGAGAACTGTCAATGATTCATTGATTATATATTTTTTTTCATTTCAACATTAACACTGTAATTTTCCTGTTTATTACTGTGAAGCTGCTTTGAAACAATTTGTATTGTTTACATAAATGTATATTACGGTGACCGAGAAGTGCAAAACAAATCACAATTCTGAAAACAAAATAACAAATTACAAACGCAAATGCAAGTCTAAAAAACTAAATAACAATTCAGAAAACACAACAACAATTCAGAAAACATTATAACAAGTCAGAAAACACAACGACAAATCCGAAAACAAATTAACAAGTCAGAAAACACAACGACAAATCCGAAAACAAATTAACAAGTCAGAAAACACAACGACAAATCCGAAAACAAATTAACAAGTCAGAAAACACAACGACAAATCAGACAAACCGGAAGAGGTAGGTATAGTTTGAGACAGCGCCATTGGTTTGGGATTACTCACCGCTGACTGGACGAGACATCTGTCAATCAACATATACAGGAAGAACCAACCGAAGAACAGCAGAGTCGTGGTAGAAAGTTCATTGTTTTCAGAATTGTGATTTGTTTTGCACTTCTCGGCCACCGTAGTATATATATATAAATGTGACGTGACTGAAATGAGAGGGTCAGAAATATTTAGGATTTGATCAAAAATATCTTAATTTGTGTTCCGAAGATGAACAAAGGTCTTACGGGTTTGGAACGACATGAGGGTGAGTAATTAGTGACAGAGTTTTAATTTTGGGGGTGAACTATCCCTTTAATTGTGAGTACCTGTTTAGAAAGCTGTTCCTCACACAGTTTGTACAGCGTGTAAAACTTGCGGCTGAGGACTTGATTTTCACGAAAACCTGCGCTGGCAAGTTTCACTCTCATGATGATGGCTCGATCAGGCACCATCATGGACACTGTGCGGAACTGAATTTTCAAGTTCTCAGGAAGCTCCTGTCGACCAGCATAACCTGGGTTCTGTGATGAAAAATGACCATTTAATGGAGGGGGAAATACTGAAGAAAGAGTAAGACTGAAAAAACATGTCAGGTTGTTTCCCATATGGCTCCTTTGATGACTGCAGTATAGTTCCATGACATAAAAAGGTTGTCACATTACCATAGTAAGGAAGATCCCAAACTCTCTATCCATATCCACCACATCTCCATCTGTGAATATGAATTGAGTTTTTTTGTTCTTCTTGCACTGCAGGACGATGTAGATTTGTTGAGCAGCTACTGAGAGCACAGGCAGCTCGATGCGGTTGAACTCATCAAAACAGCCCCATGCGCCAGACTGAGCTAATCCTGTTTGACAAACATTATAAACATGAAACACCATTGGAAAAAGGTCATTCATGTTAAATATGCATCCTCTATCTTGATTAAGGTTGCTCTGTATAAGGTGAAAGAGAAGAAAGCTGTTTATACCTTTATAGATGCGGCCCAGTCCACGGAAGTCCATCTGGTCGGAGCAATTGAAGACAACCACGTATTTTCCCAGGCAACGGCCCATGTCTTTGGTGGTTTCAGTTTTTCCTGTCCCAGCAGGGCCAGCCGGGGCCCCTCCCATACTCATCCCTAAAGCCTGGGCCAACGTGATATAACATCTGCAAGAAACAAACCAAAAAAAAATAAACAGGTGGTTAATGCACTGAAGACAATGGGTGCTACTCATTAAGAACCATTTTTGCTGATGCTGACTTAGTTTCAAGAATATGGCATCTTCAATATATCTACACTTGCCTGTCAGTGAGAGGTGTGATCACCAGACGATCAGTGCAGCCCAGATACTCATTACAGTAATCAAATTCCACATCAGTGATTTGGATTATGCATCTATCTGTATCCTCTTTGAAGTAGAAGCGTGACTGTTTCTGCCATTCAAAGTCTAAAGGTGACCGGATGTTCATTCGTACCTTGAGTGGAACATAAAAAGGCAATGTGAAGGTTAGAAGTGAAATAAATTAGTCTTGTACAGGGTTCTGCAGGTTTTATTTCAAATAAATGTACTTTTGAATTTTCTATTCATTAAAGAATAATGAAATGCATTATATGAGGGTTTCCACAAAAATAAGCAGAAAAAAATTTATATTATTATAAATGTTTCTTGAGCAGCAAATCAGCATATCAGAATGATTTCTGAAGGATCATGTGACACTGAAGACGGGAGTAATGATGCTGAAAATTCAGCTTTGCATCACAGGAATAAATGACATTTTTTAAATTATTCAAATAGAAAACCGTGATTTCAAATTATAATAATGTTTCACAATATTACTGCTTTACTGTATTTGTGATCAAATAAAGGTAGCCTTGGTGAACATAAGAAAATAAATATTTCAATTTTGAACGATAGTGTATAGTAGACTGTCTTCAATTTGGTCCGTAAGTATAAAGCGATTTCAAGAGAATGATACATAGCAACCAATTTACACCGAAGATCCCAAAAATTAATCACCAGATCATCAAAAATGTCCTTCTGGTGAACATGTATTGTGATGAGCGTCTCATATTTGGTTCTCTCCATCTTGGTCAGATCGTGAGTAGTCATATCAATCAGTTCATTCAAAAGATCCAGGAAGTTCTGGTTAGTAGTCTGCATTATCTGTACAAAAAAGACAAAATGATCAACAAAATATGGGAAAAATCCTCCAAAATAATGTCAGACTGTAGCAGAACATGCAGTATATACTGAATAAAACTTATTGATGGGGGAAGAAAGCTGTCCATTCATAAACTACAACATCCTGATTTTAAATATGACATGAAACACCAAAACAAGGACTAAATTTGAACCTTTTTGTCAGTCTTGCTATTACAGAGAGCCTCCTCAGCATCTCTGGTCCAGATGAGCTGTATGCCGAGCAGCCCAACCTGAGCAGGGAACACTGACTGGAACTCCACCAGTTTAAAGCCCTGGTCAGTAATAACCATATGAGCCTGTCGTATAATGTTGTGAATGGTCTTCCTGACTCCATCCAGGACCAGACCCAGCCAGGCTTCTACATTACCCTGTGGGGTGACATCATTAACTATCTTCATTATCAGTAGATGGGATTTCTGCCAGTTTTATCAACCATCAGGCAGAAACCATAAACCCCAATAACTTAAGGTGATATCACACCTCTCCACATAATTTGAGGTATCATTTTTAATGCTACAATTAAGCATTTTTTATGCCATTTAAGGCATTTAAATGTAATCTCAGAAATGCTGTACCTGGGCATTGATTGGTTCACTCAGATTCACTGTTTCCCCTTCTTGTGACTGAAAGCTTAGTATCTGGTCATAGTTTTTCTCATGAAACACAACTCTGTTCACATTATCAAAAAGGTTCAACAGGTGACCCTGAAAAGCAGAAAAAATGAGAAAAAAGGAGGTTATTGAGGAATTTTCTCATTTATTACCTGCTGTATTTTACTAGCTTGAATGTACAGTATTATATAGTACATTGTATAAACAAAGTATGAGCAACCCATGTCACATTTTTAACATTTACTAAATGCTGCTTATGATGACCATAAATAAATGAGAACTGTTATATGGCATAATAACAAAGTTAGATAAACGCACCTGTATGGTGTGTGAGTCAGATGCCTGACCCAGTATCTCCAACAGGACAGGGTCAGAGACAAAAAAGAACCGTGAAAAGACAAGGCGTTTCTTTTCCAGGTATCCGCTCAGAGATTTCTGACACACTTCCAGCTGTTCCAGAAGGTGCGGCAGGAGCTGCTGCAGTGTCTCGTCCCCGACACAGCACTGAATGACACCAGGAATCTCATGTGCCCGCTGCATTATCCTCTGCCATGATTTGTCGATGGTTTGGAAGCGTTTAGCCTCCTGTAGAGAGTACATTTTCAGAAATTTTAAATATAAAAAATAGTTCAATATAATAATAAAAAAAAAGGTTATTCCACATAATATCTATTCTTTGCACTTATGTATCATGTTGCACTTATCTCGTGTGCGTCACATGAGAAGAGCTTTTTGTGCAATGCATGCAAGTGAGTGTTAAAAGAGACTTTACTGCTTTGGAGGCCATTCACACAATTTGTTTTTGTTTTTTAAAGCAAAAATTCAAGACGCTGGCAGTGAAATAGGAAAAAAACACAAGGTCTCGAGAAACGTTTTCTGAAAGAGAGACTTTACTGCTTTGGAGGCCATTCACACAATTTTTTTTTTTTTTTTAAAGCAAAAATTCAAGACGCTGGCAGTGAAATAGGAAAAAAACACAAGGTCTCGAGACACGTTTTCTGAAAGTTTGACTTGAGCTTAATTTGAGCGTTACGTTTTTAGAATGCTGTGTCATGCGCCATATGCCGAAACAATATGAGCGCAATGGTCCGATGGAAAAATACCGCAGTGGAATGGAAAAACATGTTTTGTGTAAGCAGCCCCTTAGAAGGTAGTGGACCGCTCACAAGGTTAAGAAAGAAGGGATAATGTATTTGGATTCATGCTACCTGTGGCAGTTGTTTGGCAATGTCTCCACCCACAAACACAGCCTCCAGGTACAGCCACAGATTTTGCACTGTGAGCCACTTCTCAATCACCTCTGAACTGTTTGACAACTTCTGCACCCACTGCTGGATGGTGGGCTTAAACGGAGCATTATATCTGAAACAAAAATTCAATCAAATTTACATCAAACTGTAATGAAATACAGTATCAAATTTGCATGCGATATATTTTGCCAGTGTATTAACTAGGGATTAGGGTTGTGACGGTGAGGAAATTTTCCCACCGGCTAATCGACGTGTGACAACACTGATAATACCGATATCACCGTGGGGGCAGGGGCGTTCCCTCTTTTCCTTGCTTTCCTTCGCTTTTAAATAGCTTGTAAAAGCGGCGTGCGCATTTTACTTTCACTTTCAAATAGCGGCAATTCGGCGTAAAGCAATTGTTCGTTTGAATTTTCACTCTTTTCCTTTATAATATATAACCAAATAAATAAGAAACGTAGAAAGTTTATTAGCAAAATGAATATGAAAGCTAGGAGGCAGGGCATACACCTTGATGTCAAATAAAATAAATGAATTATACAAAGTTTAAATAAAGTAAAAATCAGCAAACAATGTGGAACCAATTAAATAAGAAACGAATGTTTAAAAAAACGTCCAAAATCACCTTAGATAAAAGGCAAAAGTCAACAGGTTTTTCAAACAGGCGCTTTTGCATCTAGTTTCGAAACTAAATAATCCGTGATCATCTTGTCTGTCCAACCCCTCTCTTCTTGTCAGTCAGCTTGACTCACTCTCCTCACTGGATAAATGAAATCCGATCTGTGATGAGACTGTCGTTCGGCACGCTGCATTGAGCAGCCGCATTCAGACTTTAATTGTAGTATCTGTTCTTTTACTGAACTAAATTATTTTTATTACTATAAAAAATCTAAATGACGGTGGGGGTCGGTGCCGCGGTGCGCAAGTAACGTAACCGGTGTTGCGGCTTAACAACGGTATCACCGTCAGCACCGTCTATCGCGGTATGCCTATTAACCACCATACATATAAACACACTCACATATATATACACATATGAGTAACACAAAATACCTGTTACTCATTAAAGATCCAAGCACCATAAGACTGTCCTCCATTAAGGCCACTTTCTCAGAGGTGTCCGATCCCTTTAGCAGCAGCTCTCCGCGATTCCTGAAAGTTTTTTTTTTTTGGAATGAATTGATTTTATGGCAAATTAATGAATTTAATTACAGATTAATTCCTTCTCTGACCTGAATGATGCGAATGTGAACTGATGGCTGCTCCATTCAGTCACAACATCTTTGAGTTTGGCATCAATGTCTCGTTCCTTAACGGCACTGATACACACATCCTGGCACCCAGAGGGTTTTCATAAGATACTGACAGCATTGTGCTTTTTCATGCAATCAATCTGACTCAAACCATTAAGGTTATGTTAAATGGAATATTTTGCCTGCACAATACCTCAATATCTTCTTTGTTCTGTAGCAGAGGTGCTTCCATGATATTTCGAAGGCTAAAATTTGCAGCTTCCACTTCAAACTTGTGGCCGGTAAGATCAGTTAAGCGCTGCCAATGTCGGGGCATCATTGCCTAGTTGTATGTTAATTAAAGAATGTGTATGTTAATAAAAAAATAGTTTGCTTGTTGTGTATAAATTAGGGCTGTGACTCTTTGGGTAGACAGCGATTCGATTCGATTCACGATTCATAGGTTTTCGATTCGATTCAAGAACGATTTTAGCAAATTTAGAACGATTCAATTTGATTCGATTCACAATTAAATTCGATTCGATTATAACAATTCGATTCTGCATTCTTTAAGTGCATTCACAGGATTATTTAAATGCTTCCCCTAAATTCTTTAAATGCTTAGTCAGGGGGCAAATTACACAGCAGCCTTTATGGTTACAGAACCATAGGTTAGAG